CTTTTCCCATTAGGGCATGGAATTTATTGCATTATATTTTAATATTGCCCATAGACACTCTTATCTCTGCAAACTATTATACCATAAATTCCACCTTTCACAGAGATAATATTTTGCAGAGATAAGAAAATAACTTGGAATAGCAGTTCATCAACCGGTCAGAGACCATGAAGATGAGGTACAAATATTGGATTATTCATAAATAACGAAAATGTGAAATTATTAAAAGAAGACATCTAAAAGGTTGAATTATTAGTTTTCCCCGACTAATAAAAATAAAAGCAATCCAAACCTTTGAATCAGGCTAGCGCGAGTTTTTTTCCTATTTAATGTTAATTAATTAATTAATTATGAAATTAGGGCTGGGTTAAAAGTATTTACCAAAATACTGCTGGATTAACCATGGTCGGGGTAAGTCGCCCAACGGTTGGGCGACTTATAAGTCGCCAAACGGTTTGGCGACTTATAAGTCGCCCAACCGTTGGGCGACTTACCCTTAAGTAAATTCATCGCAGACAGCCACAGAAACAGATCGCTAAACAAACCCCCCATCGAGCTAAACTGCACCGACCAACGACGAGTGACGACCGACGAAGGACGAGAGCCATCTCCAACTCCGGAGAACCTTCATCTCCGGCGACCCCATTCCGGCGAACCTCCATCTCCAGCTCCAACACTCTTTCTTCTTGATTCTAGGTAAATCAAACTTCATTTCATCTCATTTTGAACCTAGGGTTTTGAATGTTAAAATTTTCGAATTTTTGGATTATGAATTGATTGTGAATTCAGTTGTTGTGAAATGTGGATATGTATGAAATGTTGAAATTTGATTTTAAATTGATTGTAAATTTTAATGTGTATTTTGACATTTGGGCATTTGGATAGACTTGATTGTAGCTAAATTTGGATATTGAAATGTAGACTTGAATGTAGTTATCAAAATTTGGGTAGTTTCATATTGAGATGTGAATTGTTGGTCAATTTCGACTTTTGAATATATTACAATTTTGGTAGCTTTTTTATTTAGGAAATTTGAATGTGTATAAAGTGTGTATATTGATGCGTACTCATGAATTTTGGACAATGAATTGTTATTAGAATATGGATTTCTCAAGCTTCCCAATCGTGTGTCATTGGGGAGGGAACTATTATGAGGATGCTGGGCAAATATGCCATGAAGGTGGTAGAACCAGCTTTGTCATGGTTTCTCGTGGCGCTTGCATGCTCGAGATCCTTCAAAAAATACATGCAGCCACAATGATTCATCCTAGTCGTTCTTTGCGGTTGAAAATAAAATTTCCCATGAACGGGGGAAAGTACATGCTTATGCCCCTCATTGATGAGCTAGCTATAACAAATATGTGGGGCATAATTCAGATGGAGGATATGTCGTCGCTGGAGGTATACATTGAGGAATGCTTTGACGTTAATGCTACTCAATCGACATCAAATGCTGTTGTATCTAAGCATGATGTCATTGCAGGGGTGAATGCAGGGAAGTTGTCAAAGGTTCCTGTACTAGACATGGTTATACAGGAGGATGGCAGGTATTTGCACAACGGTGCATCATTTGTGGATGGGCAGGGAAGTGATGATGATGCAGACGAGAACATCAATGGTGACGACATGACAGAATCTGATGAAGATGATGGTGATACTGTGACATCAACTGCCCCGTCTAGCCACTTCACTAGAATGTATGATCTCCCTGAAGGCTTTACTGATGCGTGGATGAGTGGATCAGGTGAGAAAAGGTTTACCCCCGATGGTGAGTTTGAGGTCGGTCAACAGTTTGACAACAAAGAACAAGTCATCAATATGGTGAGCTTGTATTCTATCAAACGGAACCAATTCTATCGGGTGATAGAGTCTGATAAACACAAATGGGTGGCACAATGCAAAAGGAAGAAAGAATGTCATTGCCCTTGGAGAATACGCGCCACAAAGAACAAAGGCAACCTTGACACCTTCACAATTGTGCGTTATACTGGACCTCATTTTGCTTCATGTGTAGGCAACATCGACACTACAGATCACGTGGCCTTGACATCAGAATTCATCTGTAAAGATGTGGTTGACATTATTCGCACTGATCCTTCTCTTAAAGTGCATACTATCATCGAGATGTTGAAGGAAAAATATGGGTATACGGTATCTTACCGGAGAACATGGATGGGGAAGCAAAAGGCCATAGCACAAATATTTGGCGGTTGGGAAAAGTCATATTTCGAATTGCCCCGTTTCATGACAGCGCTCCAACATTCTAATCCAGGAACTGTTGTTCAGTGGTACCCACCCCCCAATGGTTCCACAGGTTATATGATGTTTCAAAGAGTTTTTTGGGCATTCAAGGCCTCAATATCTGGTTTTAAGCATTGTCGACCCGTACTTACTATTGATGGCACACACATGTATGGAAAGTACAAGGGTACATTGCTCGTGGCCATGGGTTGTGATGCGAACAACCAAATTTTCCCAGTCGCCTTTGCAGTTGTTGAATCCGAGAATGGAGATAGTTGGCCATGGTTTATGGTATGTATTAGGCAGTTTGTGACTGACAGGGAGTTGTGTGTCATTTCAGATAGACATGGAGGTATTGTCAGGGCAATGAATGAGGTGGGCAGTACATGGGAGGAGCCTTATGCGCATCATAGGCTTTGCATCCGCCATCTTGCATCAAATGTGCACACACATTTCAAAGACATTCATTTAAAAAATCTTTTTGTGTGGACCGCACGGCAACATCAGAAAAAAAATTTGATGGTGGGCTCATGAAGATAGGTGAAATGAGTAGGGATGCACGCCAATTTTTGGCCAACATTCCTCCAGAAATGTGGTCGCTGCACCACGATGGCGGGTACAGATACGGTACCATCACTTCAAATCTAGCTGAGGTTTTCAATAGCGTCATGAAAAATGCTAGATATTTGCCCATTACCGCGTTGGTCCAGGTGTCTTTTTACCGGGTTAATGCCTACTTTGTGCATAGGCGTGAAACCAGTAAATTGAGGCTCACACAAGGCCACGAGTACTCCCCACACATTACAGATTTAATTGAAAAAAATAGAGAGAAGGCAAAGCATCACATTGTCACTCCATTTGATTTATGGAGAGGTATATTTCAGGTGGAAACCGGTTGTGGTGGCCGAACGTTGGGAAAGGGTGGGAGAAAACAAACTGTCCACCTACAACGGAAAACTTGCACTTGTAAAAAGATGCAGATATACAAGATTCCATGCTCTCATGTATTAGCCGTGTGTAGACAACGTAGTTTGTCTTATGGTCCTTTTGTGGATAAGTTCTTCTCATCTGACCAATACGCCGCCACATATCATAGGGTGTTCAAACCGATTCCTGATCGTGATTATTGGCCAAATTACAATGGACCCGAAATCGTGCACGATCCATCCATGCTTCGGGCAAAGGGAAGACCAAAGTCGACCCGTATTAAGAATGAGATGGATGAAGGTCCACGAGGAACGATTAGATGTGGAAAATGCCACCAAACCGGCCATAATAGAGCGACATGTGCGAAAAGATCGTCTAGACAAGAGGGGGGGTCCGCCGGGTAAGGTTCTATTTAGAGTCAATCATAAATCATGTTTTCCTTGCAGGGAAACTTAATAATTTCAAAAAGGAATGTTAAAAAAAAAGTAATACATTATACAATTAGAACTAATACAAATTTTATTTGTTTGTAGGCATGGAGGTGATAGCGGATCCTGGGCCGAGTGATCGTTCTGTCCTGACATTGCAGGCCTCGCACAGGAGTGAGGATGTTTGGCTTGGCATGGATGTCCAGGTTGATAGGTGCCGCGAGCACCTGCGGGGTTTGTCCCATTTACATGTCGACCCCAGAGTCCTAGCCTATGTTCGTGCTGCTGGTTTTATTACACTGCACAGATTAGTGGCTACTGTGCCTCTTGATAGATCCCTTCTCACTGCTCTACTTGAGCGTTGGAGGCAGGAGACACACTCATTTCACCTCCCTGTTGGTGAGGTGACTGTGACATTGGGAGATGTGGCTGTACTCACCGGGTTAGAGGTTCATGGGAGAGCTGTTACAGGCACTGCTTGTCGACAGTGGGTTGATGAGTGTGAGCGGTTGTTAGGTATCCGCCTCGTTCTTAGGTCTGACCTTCAGGGGTCATCTCTTAGGATGCCGTGGTTGAGGGAGCACTTCCAGGTCCTTCCTCCCGACGCTGATGAGGTGATCATCCAGCAGCATGCTCGGGCGTATATATTGATGATGATGGGAGCCTCCATTTTTGCTGACAAGAGCGGAAATGAGGTTCAGGTGCTACACTTGCCTTTGCTGGAGAGGTTTGATGTAGCAGCACAGTTCAGCTGGGGTAGTGCCACCATGGCTTATCTATACAGGCAGCTGTGTCGCGGCTGCCAGAGAGGGAGCACAGAGCTGGGGGGGATTTTTGCTACTCCTCCAGATTTGGTCATGGGAGTATATCCACATTGGCCGTCCCATTATAGTCGGATATCATGGCATTGATGGACAGCCACTGCCTGATGAGCCTCCACGTCTGCTAGGACCACATCATGTACGGGGCGAGGACCCTCTAGGCCGTCGGTATGTTTTCAATCGTTTGTATTTATGTGAGTATTTGTTGAATGTTAATAAATTAATAATATCCATATTATTGATATTGTTACATGAATGGTTAGGTGGCTATATGCTGGTCTATCTCGCATGTCATCCGCTACTGGGCTCGGTGTCTATAGGGATGCATTGGATCGGATGTCTGAGGACCAGGTATGGTGTATGTAGTATAACATTAACTAGAATAGGTGTAGAATAAATACTAATTTTGTATGTTTATGAAACAGATCACATGGATGCCGTTTAGACCTGATATGTTAGCAGAGTTGCCCCCAGCTGGACGAGAGCATACTCACATCTGGCGAGCACGTGTCCCGTTGATATGTTTTGACATTGTGGAGCTGCATTTGCCTGATAGAGTCATGCGACAATTTGGGTTTGAGCAGGTCGTTCCACGTCCTATCGACACTTATGTAGAGCTGCATAAGCTGGATAGGCGTGGGAAGCATACAGAGGATTGGGCACTCAGACATGTCCGATACGTGACTATGTGGGAAAGGAGAGCTGAGCTAGCTGTGGTTGGGACACCCACATATGTGCCATCTGTTTCAGGAGACTACATGGGATGGTACTACAGCATCACTCGGTTATTTGTGTCTTCTTCGTTCAGACTCCCTACTCATCATTATCAGCCTAGCTCCTTGGCTTTGCATCTTACGGTGAGTATATTAGTAATTAGTAAAGTAAGTCATTTTATTTATGTAATACTTGTATGTATTTGAATGTAATTGTAATTGTGTTTCATATTTCAGACACGAGCTTTGCAGCGCATACATCAGCGGGCTACTGCCACTGTGATTGATATTCCTGATGTGGACATGTATGGACAGGCTCTGATAGGCATTGCCTCGTTGTGCTCAGATGTGTTGGGCCGAGTAGACTACGGACATCTTATACACATGCCCCCATCTCAGGAGATGGCATCCACGTCTAGTGCAGCCGCGGCGTCATCATCCCAGACGCAACATGAGAGAGTGGTTCTTCAACCACGACAACGCCGTAGGCGTAGACATGAGCAGCAACATCTCCATGACGAAGCTGATGATGAGAACTTGTAGTTTGTCTTTTGTATTGTAGTTTTTCTTATGCAGTAGATGTTGTACGAACAATGTACAAGTTTTGATGTATTTTGTCTTGTTAAGTATTGTATGGTGTATTGATGTGTTCGAGTATGAATATTAGATGATTACTTGTTATGGCATATATGATGATTGTATTGTGTTATTCCGGTTATGATTTGAAGGTTTTTTACGGGTGTTTATAAGGTGTTTTTAATATTGTTGAGAGTAGGTCATTGTGAAGACGTGTGTTGTATGTTTTATAATGTGTTGTATCTAGTTCGTAATACTTTAACAGGAGAAGGGAGACCTTATTTATAGCAAACAGATGAGTCTGGGTTGAACCGGGGCGAAAAACCAGATGAAATGCTGTTTTCGGACATAGGCACGATCGTGCGTACCCTTGTAGGCACGATCGTGCCTGGCTGGCAGTAGCTGCTCGCCTTCAACCATATTTCAGGGGTAAGTCGCCCAACCGTTGGGCGACTTACCCCTGACCGTGGTTAAGAGCCATCAATATTTTGGTAAATACTTTTTTTCCAGCATTATTTCCGTAATTAATTAATTAATTAATTAATTAATTAATTAATTAATTAATTAATTAATTAAAAAAAAACTCGGCTAGCGCACACTATTTCTGAGGCTCCTTTCCGTCCAATTCTTCGTTTCTGCTTGATAGACTAACAGCTTCAGTCGGAGGAGGCTCCGTTCTGGTAGACGGTAGGACTACTGCTCAACCTCACCTTTTCTTTTTACCCGTTTTGCAAGTTGTCTGTGATATGGGATCAATTTGAGGAATTAGCGTGTGAATATCAGATTATTTTAGACTATGCATATTTGGGATTAATATTGGAATAACGTAATTATTAATATTGTTATATTGTTTTCTGTTTGCATTATGCCGTTCTTAGTTGCGATTATTTTTTGCATCTTTTGTAATTTTGCCAATGATGGAAAATAACAAGAGAAAATTATATCTTTTAAGTTCCATGCTTTATCTCTATATCTACACAGTCACACACAATAATAATATATTGCATTTGATGGTCCATAACGATTGTCTTCCAGGAGATGTAGTTGACAGAATTATCAGAAAACCCCTTCAAATTGAGGATCCAGTGAATTGGTTTTTCCTTGACGCTTCTATTAAAATTTAAAATGTATGACACAAATTTTAATTTTAATAAATAAAAACAATAAAACAGGGTGTTATTGGCATTTTAAAAAATGTATGTGTGCATTTTCGAACTCTAATTAAATGATCACATTAGCAACAATTCAAATGAAAGACATTGAACAGTGTGTTATGATAAATCCTGCAATTCTCGATGACTTTGAGGCTAAAGTATCAATATTTTGAAAGCAATGAGTACAATAAAGGGAAAACTGTTTCAAAGGCTAGGGCATTTGTGTTGGAGCTTCAGCAAATGGGGGTAGACAAATTATATTTCTCTCAAAGCAACCCTATTGACTTCTGGCTGATCTAGTCTCCCCTTCTCTTTTCCAGTAAACCTGTTATCCTTTAGCAGACTAAAAAGGAATCTGAGAATCGATTCCTATGCATTTTCATGGATACATAAGATATATAAGAGTTAATGGTCTGTGTAGAGAAGAAGAGTTGTTGGTTTCAGAAATGTTTATGTGATTTTTGTTACTCTTCTGCTCTGCAGATACACATTCGGGACATGAATCCTACTCTTTCCGAAAACTGGTTAGTGCGGCCATAGTTATAGTTGCGAACGGCTCATGAAGCCAACCTCGAGATTTTCCTGACAGTTGTTGTGCTACAAAGCGCATGGTGGGCCGTGTCTCTGGTGCTCCACGTGTGCACTCCAATGCTAAGATGATCACAGCCACAACTTCTTCTGCAAGATGGCCAGTGGGGGGTGAGAGTCTTTGGTCAAGCAAGTCCTTCAAAAGAGTGTCTCTGGACACCTCGGTAGCCTCAGATAGTGAAGACAGCAGTTCCCTGGGATGCCTCCCCATCATAACCTCCAATGCCACGACTCCGAAGCTATAAATGTCACATTTCTCTGTGACCCTCATTGTGTATGCCAACTCTACACCAACAAAAAACATGTCCGTGTTATGGAACTACTAGAAAAGTTTCCACTTCTAGTCACTCGACTATTAGGTCTTTCCCACATGTGGTCTCTAACTTTCATGTTTTCCACTTTTGATACTAGCGTGATTATTAATTTGAGAAAATCCCTAAATAGAACTAAATTAATACAATTTTTTTTAAACAGGACATTGTTGTCTTCACAACATAGGATTTATGCACTCGTATTTGAGAAAGTTTTTGTTTTTTATTCTTTTAATAGGACTAAATAAGTCCTATTTTAGAAAGAAAACAAACTTGGTCTTATTTTTAACTTTGACTATATTTTGGTCCTATTTTGAGCATTTTCTTTTATTAATTTCTTGTCACTCTTGGATCCCTTCAGAGGTCACTTTTCTGCCAAGTAGCACGGAGATATTAAACGGGAAACAAAGAAATGTGATTTTTAAAAAATACACCCTCCGTCCCTTTTTAGTTTGCAAACACAAATTTTCAAGTCAAAGTTGTTCACCTTTGACCGATTATATATTTATACACGGTAATATTGATAATAAGAAAATTATATGAAAATGATCTTTGTTGAAAATACTATCATAAAAGTATAAATTTATTAACTTTTACTTAAATATATTAGTTAAAATAATGGATCCAAGTTTATCATCTTTGACTGGAAAAGTCAAAGTTGGCAAACTAAAAAGGGACGGAGGTAGAATTGAATAAGAAATTTGCGGGAAACATATAAGGGTTAAAAAATATACAAATATATTTATAAATATGTTTTCAGTTTTTTTTATTTGTATATACGCACATTAGTTTTTCCGTATAACATGCTTGTTAACCCAATAATAGTTATATAAATATAAGTTCAATTTAGAAATTATTACAGAGTACACATTAGTACATAGCTAAACATAAAATTAGAACAACCATTCTTGTTCTACCCACCCTTATACTGACCATGTCTGTGAAGGTTTTTTTGTCTGTGAATTCGTGATAGGAAGCTATCGAATCACAGAACAAGAAAGAAACAGAGATTAAAGCTCAAGAAAAAGAAATTTTATTAATGGCAGAATTCTGTTTCAAACAGCCCAAAGATAGAGATAGAACTCTAACTTCCCAGTCAAGACAAGTCTGAACAAGCCTGCCTATTCCCGCAGCAGGGTTTATTATTTATAACCTTCACAAAAGGAAGGTGGTTATTAGTTAACTAACAACTTTAACTAATAACGAGACAAGACTATTTAGGTCTTCTAGAGTACACCTGACCAAATCTACCTCCCCCTAATAGACTAGTAGTCGGGTCCCTATCAATACCCCCTCCTTGAAAAACCAACTTGTCCTCAAGTTGGAAATCTGGAAATTGCTCTTGAATCACTTGCAACTCCTCCCAGGAATCTTCGAAATCAGGTAGATTCTTCCAATGCACCAGTATCTCCTTCTTACCTTCTTTATTAATTCTACCCTTCAGCACAATTTAAGGACTCACCTGCAGTTCACCATCTTCTGTGAGGCAACTGGGAAGATTTTGATAGGCTACATTAGGTTTCAGCACTTTCTTCAGCAAGGATATATGAAATACAGGGTGTATTCTACTTCCTGGAGGTAATTTCAGCCTGAAAGCTACCTCACTCAGCTTCTCCACTATCTCATAGGGTCCATAGAATCTGGGGCTAAGTTTCTGATGATTTTCCTCACTAGGCTTCTCATCTTGTAGGGCTGAATTTTTAGCAACACCTTATCCCCCACTTCCAGCTTCATTTCCCTCCTATGCTTATTAGCCTGTTGCTTCATCAAGTTCTGAGCTTTAGATAGATTTTCCTTTAATTCACCCAACATTAAATTTCTGTCATGAGTTAATCTGGCCCCCTCTTCTACAGTAGTTAGATTTACATCCCCTCTAATGATAGGAGGAGGCATCTGACCAAACAAAGCCTGATAAGGAGTACTTTTCAATGAGCTGTGATAGTTGGTATTGAACCAGTATTCTGCCCATGGAAGCCACTTAACCCACTGTTTGGGTTTGGTACCAGTTAGACACCTCAGATATGTTTCTAAACACCTGTTAACAACTTCAGTTTGTCCATCACTCTCAGGACGATATGCAGTGCTATATTTCAGTTTGGTTCCAGCTGATTTGAACAATTCAGACCAAAATGAGCTCAGGAAAAGACTATCCCTGTCACTAACAATAGATTTGGGAAATCCATGAGTCTTAACCACTTCTTGAACAAACACTTCAGCCACACCTTTTGCATTAAAAGGGTGTGCCAAGGGTATGAAGTGAGAGAACTTTGTCAGTTTATCCACAACCACCGGAATTGTATCTTTCCCATGTGATCTGGGTAACCCCCCAATAAAATCCATGCTGATATCTGTCCAAATTCTGTCAGGTATGGGTAAAGGTTGCAGTAAACCTGCAGGCTTCTAAGCTTGATACTTGTTCCTCTGGCAAATATCACATCCCATAATGTATTCCTTAATGTCAGCTTTCATTCCTATCCAAAAGAATAAACTGGAAATCCTCTTCATAGTCCTGAAGTAACCAGAATGACCCCCTACAGCTGTGTCATGGTATTCTTTTAGTATGGCTGGTATTCTGGAGTTTCCTTTAGGCAATACCAACCTTTCTTTGTAATATAATAACCCACCTTTTATTTTGGAATCTCTGCATTCTTCAGGTTGTATCATAATTTTCTG